GATTCGAGGAAAAGATGTAAACAGAGTAAAAGAAACTCCCTTGTTGACAACAAAAGGAAGTGAAACTATGTGTGTTTGATGTGTCTCCCAGGAGGCTGTGCCACCCCAAACTGGTGCAGCTGTATGGTGTTTGCTTGCAGCAGCGCCCCCTGCTGATCGTGGCCGAGTTCATGGAGAACGGCTGCCTGCTGAACTTCCTGCGGCAGAGAGGAGGGACACTGAAGGAAGCCTGGCTTCTGTCCATGTGCCAGGATGTCTGTGAGGGGATGGGGTACCTGGAAGCACATAATTTCATCCACAGAGACCTGGTGAGTATTCAGCTGTTTCTTCATGTGCCAAACTGGTGATTTTCATGGCTGCTTCAGTGGTTCAGGTTCATATTTGTCTGAGGTTTCTGGTTGTTTTTCCATCATCCAGGCAGCCAGGAACTGTCTGGTTAATGAGCACAATGTGGTGAAGGTCTGCGACTTCGGAATGACCAGGTACGGCTGCCAATTTATACGTTTTTCAATGAAATGTTTGACATTTTGGGAAGATTTAACTCACTTTCTAGTGGGAAATCAGATGAAAAGATCAATTCAACTCTCACATCTGTCCAGAGCCAGCAGCTGGTTAGCTTAGCTTAGCATAAAGACTGGAAAAAGCTACAGTAATAAATTCCACCTACGTCTCTAAAGCTCTTAAATTTAAAAAAAAATGTATGATAACTGGTAGTTTTACAGGTTTTTATGTGGCAGACGGTTTGTTGAGCCAAGAAATTATGTGGCACATAACTTTTTTTTTTTAAGTCTTTGTGCTAAGCTAAGGTAACCGGCTTCTGGCTGTTGCCTTATATTTAACGGAGGGTTATATGATTGTTTTTGTGTATTTTGACTCTGTGTTTACCTTTGCAGGTACGTTCTGGACAACCAGTACACCAGTTCTAATGGTACAAAGTTCCCGGTGAAGTGGTCTCCTCCTGAAGTTCTCCACTACAGTAAATACAGCAGCAAGTCTGACATCTGGTCCTTCGGTGAGGAACTTCACCATCCACTCGCTTTTATTAGCACTGAAAGTATAGAAATACCAGAATCAGCAATTCCTGTAGCAGCGGCACCAGTAATAATTGCTGAAAACTAAACCTGAGCAGATTTTAACGTATTCTGAGTCATTGTCTGAAACCTCCTCCCCCTCCCACGTCTTTCCACCCTCACAATTGGGGCACTGTGGTTGACAACTTTTGTAACTCTCTGAAACTGACACTTTACACATTGGGGCCATTTTTCAAAAAAAGTTTTCCTGTAGATGTGATTATGCGACTCATCTAGCATCCTTCTACCTTTAGCATCTTGAAGATTCAGATCTGATAAATACAAATCAAAAACCAAACTTCAATGGAGCTTTTTTAGACATAAAATATGTGTCATAAGCTAAATAAATAAAAATAGATACAAAGATTAAAATATATGCATAACCTATTGTCTTTTTGTTGACTTTTTTCAAAAATTATGAATTATTATATTTCTTTGTGATCTAAACTGAATAATTACTGAATTATATGAATAAGTATTTTGTACAAGAAGTCAAGAATAACCATTTTCATAACAGTGAGTAAACATCTTGATATGAACTTACAACTTAAAGTAAAAATATCATCTCTTTGTCAGTGACTCCCAACTTGGGGGTCGCCCAAAGCTTCATGGGGGGGTCACAAGGCCTTATGGATTTTCAGGCATTTAAGAAATATAGATGAAGATTTACACAGTAGGCCTCATCTCAGCAATTTGTCAGAAAAGAAGTCTGGATGATTTAAAAAATACATAATACAGACAGATTGTATAAAAAATTCCCCAAAACAGCAAATAATCTGTTCAAGATTCATCCAAATCTCTTGTTTTACACAAACTCCTTGCAGAGTTCACAGTTTGGGTTCATTGTACAGTTTCAAATATAATATAAAATATTCATAAAATAAATCACTGAGTCAGTTTAATAAATTAATTCCCTTAAGGAAAGAAGTTGGAAACCAGTGATATAAGTAGTATTAATGTTTATATGTCTCTGTGTGTGCGTGTTCAGGTGTGTTGATGTGGGAGATCTACTCGGAGGGTCGGACTCCATTTGAAAACCGCACCAACTTGGACGTGGTCAACGACATCACCAGAGGAGTCCGACTGTACCGACCGCACCGCGCCTCGCAGCCGCTGTACGCCATCATGTACCGCTGCTGGCACGAGGTACTCGCTGAACCTTCATTCATTCAGAGTTTTTATTTCAGCTATAAAATGTCAGGGAAGGAACTGAAGTTTTCATACTTCGACAAAAATGTCTCATCACAAGGTCTACTTACGTCTACTTTCAGCCACATTTAATGGTCTTCCTCTGCACACTGAGTTACTCAGTTGATATGGAGATGGTTTAGTTGTTTTTAGGGCTGTAGACGACTCAGAATCTTCATTCATAAAAATCATAAAAGTACCATAAAGAATTTTTTTAATTTTTGTTCACCAGAACGTAGTACAGCGGAATTAATGTGTGTGTCTTTGCAAAATGTTATTTTAACATGTTGAATTTTTATGACCTTCTGTTAATCACTCTCGTTCTTCTTCTTCGGTGGTGGTGTAGAGGGCTCAGGGTCGGCCGTCTTTCTCAGAGCTACTGGAGGAAATCAGAAAACTGGCAGAACATCCGGATTAACACACACACACAAACATAGTGCTGATTTTCAAACTGTTTTTACTAAGGAATGCACATAGACTGTATTTTTGTTGTAAATAAATATTTTTTCATTAAAACCTTATCACAGATGCATTTTCTTCCATTAACTGATGCTTTGATGGTTTTAATTGATTTTTATCTTTAAACAAAACAACCAAAACATACATGTAAAAATGTGATGTAAATTTAAAGATCCTTTGTTTTACGTTGGTCTTCATATACTTCTCAAATAACATTGAGTTGTAATATTATGTCTGTGAAATGAATATTGCACATTTCAGCCTCTTATTTGTTCAATGTTTGTATTTATGCATTACTGATGAGATACGATGTCATAATTATGACAAGAATGTCATTAATAATGAAAACAAACTTTAACTTAATGGTGGATTTACTTTAAATTAAATACAGTAAATTAGATGGACAAAATATTAGAAACACTTCTATAAATATAGTGTCATACAGTCATTCACAGAGACTGGGTGTTAAGCTAAATACATTTATCTTGTTTAATTTGTAAAGTATATCAAATGTGTATATTGTTTTACTAATGAGTTTTCCTAAATCTGTCTGTTTGTTTGTTTGACTGAGAGAAAATAACCTCAATGTCTTTTTTTTGTTTCATTTATAAAGTATTTAAATGTATGTTGTTTTACTGGTGATAAAGTTGTGATTTATTAAATGTATATCTCTTCAAAATGGCTGCTTTACCTATTCAAGAAGTTATGACGTGATGCAGAAACAGCTGTAAAAATGGTCAGAAACGTTCATTTAATGCACAAATTTGTTCTTCTCACTGTGAATTTGGTAATAACAATAAAGTTGCATCAGCATTTTTCTCAACATAAACTGACCTCCATGAAGGATTTGTTGACTGTATTAGTTTTAGCCAGGTGGATCTAAAGTGGAGACTTTACCTGTAAATGAGAACAGAAAGCGACAGTGTAACCTGTAGTAGTAGTTCACTAGAAATGACAGCAGGTGGCGGTAGAAAGCCACAGTGAGCTTTTTAAGGGAGATGTGAGAGATGTTAGTTTGTGTTGGATGAAAGGTTGTTGTTTTTTAAACATAATTTGCATGCCTGTAATCATTATAAATCAATATATAATCAATTATAGCTGCAAAAAGTGCAGTTTGTAAGAGAAATAATTAGGGAAGCTCAGCCTGCTGTAAATCAGTGGTTCCCGACCTTTTTCCTTAAAGGAAATAAGTTCATAACAATAACTGCAGGAGGTTTGTGTCAAACTAGCAAATTGGATGAATTTTGAGCATCTGATAATTATTGTATCTTTTTGTATTGTATCTTTTATGTATATCATACATATTTAATGTATTAATATAATATATAATACAACAGAAATTATATGTATACAAAGATTTAAATTTGTATAGAAATTTCAATATAATAATATAATTATAATAATAATTTAAAAAGATATTCTATATTACATAGGCTATTCAGTAAAAATAATAATACATAAATAATTAAAATGTACTTATAGTTCAGATAATTATTCTTTGTGTAAATGATCAAATCTGGTAAACCGTGTGTTAAAAAAAAGACAAAAAGAAGACATTAAATTCTAATTTCTCCAGCAACTAAATAATATATATTGAATTTGTTCATTATTTTAGATACTTTACATTCATACATTTTTGAAGAAGTTTGCATCTTATATTACATTTAAGCAAACATATCTGAACATTTATCTTCAACCAGTTGTACGTTTAAACACTTAAATAAACTATTAACTTTATGTAAACTCTTTGATATTCTGCGTTTAAATTAACCACTTAACATGTTGTTTTTTTGTTTTGTGTTTAATGTATACATTTTTTTGTATTTATGCATAGTTTTGTCATCACTATTTATTTATTTATTTATTATTATTACCCAAATTTGTTGATTTTATGTGGAATGTAAGGTTTAGTGTATGTTTTAATGAAATTAACAACGTTTTATTTAATAATAAATAAATAAGCCTTATCTATTATTTGTGTTGACTCTTCTGTTTAATGTATGTTACTCAATGTGTTGATTTCGACTGTAATGTTTTTTAAAGTGGACCCCAGGAAAGACCAGCTGTGTTTTCAGACCAAAAAACAAACAAACAAACAAACTATTTTATACTGAAAACCTGGATTTGTTGGCCAAACATTTTCAATTAAAAATAAAAAATAAAGATTCCACAGTGACGTACCAGAGTTCTGAACGAACACAACGTGCTGACGTAACGTTCTATCGCTGCCCGGAGCATGGCGGGGGGCGTTACCGTGGCAACGTGTTCGTTGGGCGACAGCTCTCCGGTGACTGTGAGACACACACACACACACACACACACACACACACACACACACACACACACACGAAACGTTACTCCGGTGTTTACGTTGATAACGGAAGCTCACCGATTTGGGCGATTAAGGAATTCACCTGTAAGGTCAGTGTGTGTGTGTGTGTGTGTGTGTGTGTGTGTGTGTGTGTGTGTGTGTGTGTGTGTGAACTTTACGTTGCTGTTTGTGTTTTGTTGTATCACTTTAATATCTGATTATATTCCTGACCACTGCTGACAACCAATCTCTAATAACACTGTAAGTTCAACATTCATAATGTCCCTGTAATGTAAGTTTATATTGATCTCATTGTGTGTTAACTGACATCATTAATATTATTATCATAGATTATTATTTTGACAGATATTGCGATATGATTATAGTGTGGTAATTATCATTTTTGCATCACAAATTAAATTTTCAGTGAAAAAAATACTGAAATCATGATATGTTAATAATGTTTTTGGAGTTTGTGCCAAAGAAACATGTTTAATTAAATCTTAAGAACAATATTTGTAGCTACGCTTTGCATATTGCACTTTATTTTTATAATATTTAAATTATTTATGCAGCCCTTAACATTAACAATCCAATATGTAATACATAAAAATATATCCACTCACATTAATTATTAATTATAAATTATTATAAATTTCTCTCTCTTTTTTCTTTTTGTCATTTTAATTTTGCATTCTGTTGCTTGTCCGTCTTTTCAACTTTTTTATTACTTTATGTAATTTTAAAGTTTATTTCTGTGATTTTGTTTAATGTTACTTTGTCTTTTAACAGTTGACTTTCTAAAGCCAGTGTTGGCTCAGGCAGTGGTCAGATAAAGCTGCTGTTTACAGCAGATACTAAAATGTAAACAGCAATAATAGATTTTTAAAATTTATTTGAGTTTTTATTTATTATTATTATTTATTTATTTTTATATGAGTGACATTAGTGATTTGTTCTTATAAATGTTGACAGTCTGATGGAGCGTTACGAGTCTCTGGGTCTGGTCGGGGAGGGCAGTTACGGTACCGTGCTGAAGTGCCGCCACCGAGAATCTGGTCGCCTCGTTGCCATCAAGAAGTTCATGGACTCGGACGATGACAAGACGGTGAAGAAGATCGCCCTGAGGGAGATCAAGCTGCTTAGGGTACCTGTCAATCGATCCATCAGCCAATCAATCAATGAGTCACTGAGCGTGAGCTGACTGGATGGGCCAGAAACCTGAGTGAACTTGAACACAAAAGCTGCCTGTCAATCAAACCCCGAACAACACAGAGTCAGATTCTTATAATTAAAACTTGACATGAGAGGAAACTTTGGGAGAACAGAAATGATCAGCTGAGAGCAAAACATTGTGAAACAATACTAGCTAAAGAATTTGTAAGATATTGCTGAAGGTTTCTTGTGCGTATTACAGTAATCTCAGTGTTTAATATGATATATGATATGTATAAATTAAGATATTTAAAATGGAAAATTAATACAGATGTGTAAAAAAAAAAAAAAAGCCCTAGTTTGTAGTTACGATAGATCATTTTATAAATAAATCAAAACAATCAAAAATGTAAAAATAAAATTCAGTTTTGTAAACAATAACAAGTAGAGGTTTGGAGGTTTAAGATTTAAGAAGTTTCTAAAAAGTCCAAAAGGTGTATTGATTTTAAGGATGTATTCAAATTCACAAACACTTATTTTTCTGCTCTCATCTTTTTAACCATCAAGCAACTGCATCATGACAACCTGGTGAACCTTCTAGAAGTTTGGAAGCGTCGCCGCCGCTGGTATCTGGTGTTCGAGTTTGTGGAGCGAACGCTTCTGGATGATTTGGAGCAAAACCCAAGCGGACTGGACCTCAACACCAGCCGGCAGTACCTGTACCAGATCCTGAGGGCTGCAGCCTTCTGCCACCAGCAAAATGTAAGTCCTGTGTGTTTGTGTGGAAGTATAGACACTGAGGACATCCAATATGGCTACCCAAGAAAGGATCATAACGTGGCTCCTGAATTTTTATCCCCCCTTTCCTTCCAAGATCATCCACCGTGACATCAAACCAGAGAATATACTCATCTCTCAGGGAGGTGTTGTTAAGCTGTGCGACTTTGGCTTTGCCCGGACCATGACGTCGCCCGCTGAGGGGGCGGTCTATACTGACTACGTGGCCACTCGCTGGTACAGAGCTCCTGAACTGCTGGTGGGAGACACCAAGTATGGCAAGTAAGTGTTAGCGTGAACACCTGAGGATGTGTTAGTGTAGATTGTCTGTTGATATAAATGTTAACGGGTTATTTATGTGTCTCTCTGTGTGTTTAGACCAGTAGATGTGTGGGCTGTTGGTTGTCTGTTAGTAGAGATGTTAACAGGTCAGCCTCTGTTTCCCGGAGACTCCGACCTCGATCAAATTTACCACATCGTCAGGTGCTTCGGTAAGCACTCACCCAAAAACATTTGTAAGATAAAAATTACTTTAAACTCTCTCAATACAATTGTACTCTCTAAGTTTTCCCTTCTTTCTATAATAGGTAACCTAACAGCTCATCACCAGGAATTGTTCTATAGGAATCCCGTCTTTTCTGGAGTAAGACTGCCTGAATGTTCTGGCAGAGTCCCACTGCAGCAGCGCTTCCCTACAATCACAACCACCGCCCTGGACCTGGCACAGGTACAGTTAAATGATACAATACAAATATTTCTATAAACATACAGACATGTGGCAAAGGCTTAGCTTAGCTAGTTCCTGTTCCATTACCTTTTGTTGCCCAACATATTTTCATCAGTCCCTCTGATAGTGTAGTTTTCTGTCCATATTATCTTATTAAACATTGATTCCTCAAACACCACCAAGTCACATTAAGTGAAACCACCTACTGAGCGCTGAATGTCTTGGGTATATATTGACTTTGAGAAACTGGGAATCTTTAACATCCAACAGCTACTAAAGGATCTGCAGCTTTCATCTTGGCACTTATTGGTATCTTCTTCTTAGTATTTTTATAAGTTAAACATACCAGAATTGGTTATACCTTTGTGTCTTTCAGAGTTGTCTCCAGATGGATCCAGAACGACGAGCTCAGTGTTCAGAACTGTTAGAACATCCTCTGTTCACGCAAGATTCCTTTCACATCAGGTATCTCTATGTGTATGCAGTTTAACAGTTTTACATTTACTCTGTAATGTGTGGTTTATTTATACAACTATGTTACAGATGTATCCTCAAGAGCCTATTGTATCTACAACCTTGTTGAATTTGATCATGGCATTTATCAACATTAACTTGTCTTCAAGTTCTGCCCTTGGAGTAAGCAAAAACTTAATATGTGTGTTAGCCAAACTTTGCAGTAGTAGAGCATTAGTGATGCTAGGAATCTAACCATAAACCTTGTCAATATTGAATAGTTAATTCAAAATCAAGTTACTAACTTGCTGCATTTATGTATCTATGTGTCTAAACAGGGTTTTGGACGAGCTGAATACTAAGATCCAAAAAGACCACAGAGAAAACTCTACCCTTCCCAAAATAGCCAAAACCCAAAGACGAGAAAAGGATGAAGGGGATGACCGCAGAGGCAAAGACAAGAAACAATCTGAAGACATGGATAAGAAAGTTGACAAGGAAAAGGAGAAGAGGGACAAGGAGGGCAGAGAAGAAAATACACCGAAAACAAAAGGCAAGCAGCCAACAAAGCCACCTAAAACCGTTCGGAATACCTCAGAACCTTTGATGTCCACCAAACAGTCTAAAACATTAGGAGCCAAGACTGCCGATAATGCAGCAAAAACGACTGTGGCCATAAGAAGTAAAATGGCAAAAACTACTGGTGTGGAGCTGAGAAAGGAACCTGAGAAACCAACTACCCTTACTTCCAATTCTTTGGAGGCTTCCAAAATTGCAGCAGATCTGAAGGACCATAATACAGTGGCAGCTAAACTTAAACATGGTAAGGTTGCTTCTCCAGAGCCGAGGGAGGGCCATTCAAAAAATATGGCTACTAAAGTACGAGATTCTGGCCTGCGTGCTAGTTGCTCAGACAATATTGTGTCAAGCGTGACTGAGAAAAGTATAATTGAGATCTGGAGATCTTCTAAACTGGAACCAAGTCAAAACTTTGGGAAGAGCTCAAACAACTCAAACACAGAAGTGCCCAAATTGTCTAAAAGCTCCAAGACTGACTATCAAGATGAGAGTTCATCTCCAAAAGCTTCTTTCAAATCAACCATTGAATGTACAGACACCAACTTAACACAGAAAGTGGGTAAAATTTCTACTACAGAAGACTCTGAAGGTGCTGCCACAGCTGTAACTTCTAAGATATCTAATAGGGGACAAGCAGAAACAAGCTTGACACTCAAAGCCACTCAACAATCAAGCAATAATCACATTGAGGTTGCTACCCAAACTATTCCTTCTGTCGCTAAGCCATGTAAGACAACTACTACTTCAAAGCATCAGACCAACCGTGCAAACATGGACACCGAGCAAAGAAGGACCTTTGACGGTCCAAAAGTCTTACCTTCAAACCCTAAGCCATGTAAGACTACCTCAAACTCTGGCCCAAAAATCAACAAAAACATCACCTCTTTGACCACCAGTTCGATTCTTACCTCAGATCTTTCAGCGCAGTCCTCCACAGTTCTCATAGAGGCCAGTCCTACCCACAGCACTACAACACCACCTAAAGGAACCCTCCAAACTGGCTCATCTTCAGATACTAAACCCAGAAATGACCCCACCTGTGTACCCAATCAACCTTCCAGGTGCCTTACAACAGACAGAGGACTTACAGAAGTATTGATTGCAAACAAAAATCAGCAGGATAGTTTTAATACTTCAAAAACGGACATAAAGGAGGCTCACCGATACTTGAAGAAGAGCCCGGTGACCAAAACAGCTGCAAAGCACACTGAGATATCCAGTACTTCAGGTGGATATTATGAGGAGAATCCTGGATCTTCTGAGCCCTGCAGCATCAATGAGCAGAGTACTTCCAAGTCTAAGATCACCACAGAATCCAGATCACCCTCAACCTTCATGCTGAGTGAAATCCCTAAAACCAACACATTAGTAGGGACTGTCCCAAAAACACTGAAAGCCTCAGATAAAGAGAACAGAGAGGATCTAGCATTTTCTGTATCCAACAATGCAATGACCAATTCTTTAGTACATCAAACCTCAAAGGTTTCTAGAAGCTCAAATAGTGAGCGAAAAAACAGCAGCACTGAAGCTGAGCCTAACATGAAATCCTTGAAACCACCTCACTCCAAATCTTTGATCGGAGAACCTAAAACAAAGCTTGGGACTCTTAGCAACCACACCAAGTCCACTGCAACAATGACTCAGAAAACTTCTACAGAGGCAAGGAAGAAAAAAGACAACCCAGAAAAGAATATCACATCAAATATATCCACAACTGCAGATTTAACTTCATTCACTTCTACAGAGAATTCAGAGCACAAAGCTTCGCCAAGAAGCTCTGTATTTTACAACATGGACACCGCATACGTTAATGAGCTGGATTTCAGTTTACCCCATTCCTCTCCACCTCCTCCTCCTCCTCCACCCTCCTCTACTCCACTACTCCTCCCTCCATCTTCCACACCCCTTATTCCCTCTTTCTCTGTCATCAGTACCAGCAGCCCAGCCCCTAGCGATCACCTTACCCTTGGTGCTGGTTTCCATCCCGGGGCTCACAGCCTTTGGTAAGTTCTCGCAATGCAGTACCAGCCTGAAACAAGTGTAAACCTATCCTGATGTTACCCACTGGTTTGTGGAGAACTGTTTTGAAGTATGCCGTATTTTCTGAAAATATTTTATGTGAGAAATAAACAATTTAACAGAATCCGGATCCAAATCTGATCAGCACTGCCTAGTTTGACAGTTTGATCTGAATTTGGTGCATTGAGCTGGACGGGCTCACTGTCAATCACAAGGTAGCCCTGCTCTAATGCATACCCTGCTTTATGGTCTATTTTACTCTAAATGGGACCATCATTTGCTTGGAACTAGCTAGATTGAGACCATAAATTCATTAGGAAACTGTTAATGGAGTTAATAAATTAAGTCAGAAGGGTCATTTCTCCATAAGACTCAATACTATTAGCTTCTTTGTGTGTCCAATGGAGCTGCCCTCTGCTGGCCAATACCTAGAATGCCTGTTTACAATACTTCTGCGTTGGTTTAGGCATAGTTTTAGGCCTGAAATTAAAAGTCTTCCCCAAAATCATTGCCAAATGGCTGAATCCTATAACCTGGGGTGACTGTGGTTCAGGATGTAGAGTGGGTTATCTATTAATCTGAAGGTTGGTGTTTCAGTCCTCGGCTCCTGCAATAGAAAAATGTTCCTGAACTACATTTGTTATGTAAGGTTCCCTTTTGTTCCAGTTAAGTCTACAAACTACAACTCCTCGTTGTTAATGTTATGTAATTTTATGTTTCTGTGTGTGTACTACAGGTGTTTAGACAAACCAAGGCATCACGGTGGCATTTACAGTCGACAGGCCCAACAATCTCTGTCCAGCCACATTACAGGATCACTCACAGCACAGGTAACACAGTGTGTTTCACTTGTTTACAACAGAATCATAACAGAGAATGTGCTCTTTCAAAGTTACCTCTCTTGCTACAGGTGTCAGAGAAGAGCCTGATGTGCGAGCGTTCCTTCCTGTCCGACCGCTGTAACCACAGTGGCGGCATTACAGTGACCAAAAAGAAGTCAGACATCCATTTTCCAGATCTAAGAACCTCAGTGCTGCCAGAGCTCAGAGGAAGAGAAGGTACGCGCACAACACTACCTACAAACTTCACCATACTACCTACAATTTAGCTAATCTTAAATATAACGTCAAATCAGTAAGAAATGTTTTAGCACTTCCCTCAGGCCAATCAACAAATTTTGAGAAAGGATATTACACACAAAAAGAAACCAAATAACAAAACATTTCACTGTTTGTTAGCTATAAATCAATGACACGGTTTTCTTACATTTTTATGAGTGCCTCATCAGTTGCATATAATATATATTATGAGCCGGACTTGACCAAAAATAAAAATATCCTCACTCAGTGTCTTCACATTAAAATGTTCTTATTTTATCTCTCTATCTGAGCATCAAACTAGACTTTCCTCCAATCTGAAATATGTATAAAAGTAGTGATTGTTATCCAATACATGAACTAACTATTAAAATCATGAAATAAATAAATATGCAATGTGTTTCAGGTTAAGAACTCAAATTATAGTGCATTTTGTGGTCAACATGTAAAAGAGTGTTGTTGTTTCTGGGTCTCACTACACACAAAATATTTATTCATACTTTATTCATACTACATAAAGTGATACCTCCTCCAATGTTTTCTCAGGTAAACACACCAAAAGCACTTCCAAGGATCAGAGGAAAGAGAAACAGCTGGTTCCCTCCATTCCTCCATCAGAACCACAGCATCACGGACACAACAGTACTGATTCACACTCAACATAACAAAAGCTTTCAGATATTCACCTCTTTACTTCAATGTGACTGCAAAAATTAATTTATGGTTTTGTTTTGAATTTAGGGGGGTTTTTGATTGTCCCCCCTGTCCTTTTAGCATTAGCGGTGGCTACATGTTGATGATACAAAGAACCAAACGTTCCATTTATACTTGTTATTTGTCAAATAGTAAACAAAATAATGACGTAATTACAAGAATAAAAGGATAGCGTATGAGCATCTTTAGTCAAAAAAGAGACAGATAATGTATGAACATTTTATTATGACACTTAATCAAAGGTTGTTTTATTTTGTTACACCTTTTTTAAAGCAGCAAACACGTCGTTCACATGTGAATACATTTTCAATAAATTGCTAAACAGCACTTACAGCAATTGTTTTATGTGTGTATTATATGAATAAATAAGGTTTTTAAAAAGGAAGATTGGATGTGTTGGTTTGTGGCAGCAGCAACAGCTGTAAACATACATAGACTATACAGACAGCTGAATATTTACAACATACAAAATATTTACTGACATTACCACAGTGATGCCCGTAACTACTTCACTGGCTCCTAAATTCCATGGTAATTCCAACAGGAATGCAAATGTGTCAAGAAACTGTCAATAAAACCTTACATGGTATTAAAGATTAAAATGTCACGGTACAATTTTAAGACTCGTCACTTGAGTCCTCTGAAGAAAACGAACCTATTTTCCATCTTTTCACCTCCGTCCTGCTCACTCGTTTCTTTTCATCGCTCTCTGATGTACTGTCACTTTTGTGAGGCTGCCCTCCTATTGGCTGAGAGAGAAAAGTGTTAAATCCTGGGAGAGAACCAGCCGCATGTTGTCTGCTGTTGGCCAGGAGGTAGTGGAGGAGGTTGTGGATAGACTTTCTGTCAGGGATTGGTGCTGCTGGAGCTGGCTGTGGTTTCTTTGGAGGCGAAGCTACGTCTGGCTTTTTGGTTGTGGTCACCACCTGCTGGGAAATTAATTAGAGATAAACTTTCTTAACAATGTTACAAAGTCCTAAACAGTGTTATGATATTGAATTACATGGCCAAGAGGCTGCATGTATATGTAAAACAGAAGGGGGCCAAGGACAGAGCCTTGAGGGACACCACAGTTCAACTGAGCTGTCTAAGAAGGCAACTTAGGCAAGTGTGGCACCTTTAATCGATCCCTTGAGGATATCACGTTCTATTTTTGAGATTGTTGTGGGAAAATCTTAAAGTTGGGAAAATGCTCAATGTGATGGCAACTTTTCTAAAAAACTTAAAGATTTTAAGCTCTTTAGCTATTTCTCTGTGAAGATGCTTTAATGTAACAAACTAACATGTAAAAACTACATATTATACGACAATCTCCTATTGTACAGAAAACCGCTCATGATGTAATTACCTTCCTGGTGATGGGTATGGTTGTTGTTGTTGTTGTTATTGTTGTTGTTGTTGTGGTTTCAGGTGGTGGGTCAGTGAAAATCCTGCAGGTGTCCACAGCAGAACCATCAACCTCTGCAAGATCAAAATCCGGCAGAAAGGGGAACGACTGAGCTGATGGAGAGATGTTAGAGGTCGTTAATTAAATTTTTTGACTAAGTAAGACATTTAACAGGTTTAACAGTGCAACATAATTATTTTGCATTTGTTTTTACAGTTGACATGTGGATCCCAACCATGGGGTCGTTAAAGTTTCACAGGATGTTGCGAGGACTTCTTGATTTTAAGGGGTGTAAGAAAACGTTTAAATTATGCTCAGCATTTTATTAATTTCTGTTTTAAAAAAACAAAATGAAATTAATGTTTTTAAAGTTCAGATTATCATTATAGACTTCACTGACTGATAAACAACCACACAGCTAATAGTACGACGATAAAAATACACAGAATCTGCCAAAAACAAGTCAGTTAAGTCTGTATGATTGTTAAAAAAAGACAGAGAATTGAATAAAAACATCAGGAAAGGGCACCCGGTTAGCTCACTTGGTAGAGCTGGCAACCATGGACTGAGTGCTGCAGCGGCCCAGGGTTTGAATCCGACCTGTGGCCCTTTGTTGCGTGTCGTCCCCTCTCTCTACCCTCCTTTCCTGTCTATCTCCAGCTGTCACTGTCCATTAAAGGCAACAAAAGGCCAAAAACATCAGGAAAACTAATCCCTAATCAAAATTAACAGCAAATAATCTTCAAAATCCAAATCGCTGGTTTTACACAAACTTTGAAATTAAATATCCATAAAATAAGTCAGTTTACTCAATTCTCACCACTGATAGAGACTATGCAATTAAAGGAACAGAACAATAATTCATATATTTATTGATCATAAATCCATAATAAGACCACATTTGATTTTTAAAAAACGTATCTAGATAAGTTTAGCTCTTCCACAGCGAACCGTCTGCACCTGTAAGGTCAACAGGTGCTTTATGTGCGTGTCTGGTGTACATTAAGGCGTCTGTGTTGCTATCTGATCTGTCTGTCCTTGCTGTTGCATATTTCATGATGACAGCTTTAAGGTGTGTTTTTTCTTTTTGTCTTTTGTCGGCAGTAAAGCTGCCGTGAAGACTGAATCTGATAAGAAATAATCACCATTTATGGCAACTACATTTGTTTTTATCTTTAACTTTGAAATACAAAAACAAGCGTATTCGTACTCACCGTGAGTGAAGTCAATGCTCTGAAATCTGAGGAGGAAGAGGAGGAAAAATACTATCAGCCTGCAGGACATGACTATAAATGAAGAGAAACAGCTAATTAATAAAAAAATATTTGGGGAAATTTGAGAAGATTGAGGGAAGAAGAAAGTGAAAATGGAAAGTAGGAATAAGAAAAATGAGCGTTGAAAGGACAGACTGCAGGCTGACTGAAGAAGAGCTGAGATGAGGAAGGTTGATGGAGGGTAAAAATAAGGGAGGTGAAGAGGAGGAGGGAGGAGAAATGAAGGGAAAAGTTGGATAATGTCTAGACTATAAAGTTTTGTCTGAGCAGATCTGACACGGTTTATGGTTCTGAGTTGCAACAGAGTTAATCCTCGCTGCTTTTTTTAAAAACTTTATTTATTCAAGGAAGGTTTACGGAAACGCCCGGCTTTACAGTAACACATGTTCAATACTGTCTTCACTTATTTACGGTTTTCCTTTCCTGTAAATTACTTTACAAGTTTGTCATAATTAGGAATTTTTGAAACATCATCATGGTTTCAGACAGAGGTAGATTAAAGCAATCCGAACCAGAATTACAAATATCCTGATTTTATCTATTCTATCTTTATCTATTAACTCTATCAGTTGTTTTTTTTTTTAATGCGATAGGGTTAGGGTTAGGTTCTCTTAAATGTGCACTTGATGTCCACATACATGATATTGTGCTTAAAGACAAACGATCTATACAGAAGACTTGGAATTTTTTCTCATATTGCAATATATAACGAGTTAGTTCGTAATAATTAGGGAAATGTAAGATCTGATTACAATAACACTGTTTGGCTGCAGTTATGTGTGATTTAAACATACATTTCTGTACTTAAATTTACAAGAAGGCTAACTGATAAGTTTGGGAAAACGTAGCGCTTTCACCAGTAATGTTGACAAGGTTGATGAAGTTTAGTTGAAGTTACCTGTAATGCCCCAAAAATAGAGTTAGCTAATGAAGTAATTATGGTTGGAAGCTTGTGTAGACTATAGGTAAGCTTTAGCCAAACATGCAGTCGTTTTCAGTATATTGAGCAGATAAACACATTGTTTAATACATTACTTACACGTTTGCTTGTGTTTCTGGTTTTGGAAACACAAAGAAATACCAAACTAAAATATTCTGAGCATTGCTATAACAGCGTCAACATGTGAACAAAAAATTTGTTCCAAATTATTCACATCGAGTAGCTGTTTCATAATGTAAAATGGGAAGATTTAAAAAAAAAATAACACAATAAATGAGTTTTCAAAGCCATTAGCATTTTGCTTACCAACCGAATAATGTCGGTTATCATTTGATTGGCTGTTGCTGTCGGAGGTTCAGCAAATTATAATTTATCAGTAAAACCAACAAAGCTGCACAACATCAAACTAACTTCTTGTTTACTTTGAAATTTGTTGAGCTACCAAATTATTTTACCAGATGTCTTTCCAAAGTGATGTCAATGTTTTTACTGTAGCGTTTACTGAATGAACAGAAGTCAGTCAAATGTTTTCCTTTCTGTTTTGAGTTGAGATAAAGTAAACGCACCCTGATGTCAGTTGTTATTGAGACACAAAGAGACTTCACTTCTTCCACCTGGAGTTTCCCTGACAGTTTCTTTTTTAAAACCCTTTTAGCGTTACACTAAACCTCACAACAGTTTGAGTAATTGTTTCCATTGGAGATCAGTGGAGCATTAAACCTCTAATCTTAATTTGATCTACTGTATATGATGATGCACCATGAGGTTACGGCTCGTCTGGGATCCAGTCTGGAATTCAGTTACCTTTATGTTTGAAGGGAGGTCAAAGTACAACAAACCTTGTTGTCTGTTACTTTTGCCTTCATGCAACGATTGATGACAGATTTGTGTGAAATGCTCCATCGTTTTGTTGATTTTGTAGAGATAAACCTGTTTTAATTAATTATCTCAGCTGTTGAGTTGATGCCCAGTTTATGGAAACAGTTACTCACTCAGATTTCCCCTGATACACACCTACAAACACAACCCTCCAGCCATTACTAGCATTACTCAACTGGAACTGGAGATTTCCAAACATCATGCAGGGACTGTTATAACCACGGTTGCCATGGAAGCGGGTGTCTGCTTACATACACACACCTACTTTACAGTCAACCGTAGCGCTGTAATCTCGTGTGTGTGTGTGTTCATGATCCTCTCCCATTATCTTGTCATATCCAAACAAAAGGCACATTGTTCTTTTAGCTAGCAGCTCTATTGCATTGGATGACAACCACTTTGGTCCAGACTGAAATATCTCAACATATGCTGGATGGATGACGTGCATCCCGATGCTGTACATCGCTGTGTAAAAGCGCTTTGAGTGGTCGGAAGACTAGAAAGGTGCTATACAAGTACAG